GGCACCTGGCTGCCCAATTAGACAGAGTCTAATCAGACTTCCTCCATGACCCTCAGTGATGACAGGGTTCAGAGAAGCATGTGTATCATCTTCCCATATTGGGATGAGAGCAATATATCCTTCCTAGTCCTTTGTGATTGTTCATTTGTATTATTTTTTATGTTTCTCTTAACTCCCGTGTTGGGACTTCAAAGTTTCTACAGAAGTCTGGCCTTTGTATCGGGAATGCTTGGAAGTCCTCTATTGCACTAAAAGGCCATTTCCCTTGTACTCAGTTTCGTTGGTCAGGTTATTCTTGGCTGTAAGCTAAATTCTTTGCCTTCTAGGCTCTGTGCTCCTTTACATCGGTGGCTGCTAAATCATGGGTACCTGCATAATTTCTTTCTGGCTGCTTACGATTTTACTCTCTGATCTGAAGCTTTGCATTTTGGCTGTGATGATCTTGGGGTTTCTTTCAGAAAGATTCTTTGTCCTCTGGATCAGAGATCTGGGCAGTCTTATTTCACAATTTCCTGAAAGATCACGTGCCGGTTCTTTTTCTGGTAATGGCTTTCAGACAGTCCAATGGTCCCTACATTATTTCTCCTTGATCCATTTTCCAGGTCAGTGGTTCGTGCTGAGACACTCCCATTTTCTCCTATTTTTCAGTCTTCCGACTTGCCTCTTGGAGCCACTGGCTTCTCTTTGGTCCAGCCTAATGTCCAAGGAGCCTGCTGCTTGGGCAGGTTTGGTGCCAAACTTTCCAGTTATTTCTTCCAAAGATCCCCTTGCTTTTCCAAGTTTTCCCCTCTCCTGCTCTCATTCCGTTCATAAAGACATTTTCAACCTCTTTTCACACATTCGCACTCCATCTCTTCTTGGAATCCTGGCTGACCGCTGACCCACGCTGTGTTCTTCTCGGAGGCTTTGCTCATGCACGGTCTGCGGCCATTCCCTTCTCCTGGGTCTGTGTTGTGAGTGTTTCTGTCACCACTGCAGATCTTTATGGTGGGGTTCTCTCCTTTGTTCATTCTTCCAACCCATCTTCTACCTTCAGGCTTGCAGTTTCGACTGGCCTCTACACATCTGAAGTCTGGGCTGGCCTGTTGCTGCTTTCTTGGGGTACTGAGGGTTGTGTTATTTCAGGCTCTTAGAGACCTTTGAGCTTCAAGGGCTATTACAGGGATCAGATCCAGTGTACCATGTGACCTGTGACCCCGGGTCTGAGCGACAGCAGGCTGCTGTTGGACGTAGCCTTCAAGCTGGGGGCTGGGCTGGGACTGAGATCCTGCTGGGCTTCTGCTGACTTTTGAGCTTTCTCCTTGCTCTGTGCACAAGAGCGTGTGCTCGGGGGTGTAACTCCCCTCCTCGGGCTGACCTGGTTGAGTCTGAGTGAGTCAGGGGTCAGAGTCCGTAAGACCTCAGCATGAGTCTAGGGCTTCCTCTTGCCTTGGTACACCGCCACCCCCTGGGTCCTGGAGCACCCTCCATCCCCAGCATCTCAGACCACTTTGTCTTTTCTATGCTGAGCTGGGCTGCAGAAATGATCCCTTGGCTTTGATCCAGTGTTTGGAGGAGTTCTGGAGGAGGAAGCTCAGCAGAAAAAGGGAGGTCCCCCAACCCGAAGCTTTGGCGTCTGTCTGTAGCTCCCGGCACAACCAGAAGCATTTCTGACCTTTGGCCAAAAGAAGCCCCGAACGACTTGAGTATTCTCGGCTCTCTCTCTCTGCAGGAATTCGAGGCAGGGCAGCGCGGTGAGAAGAGAATTGGAATTGGGGTCAGAGGAGCGACTCGGCTTTGCCATTTCCACTGAGCTCGTGTGATCTTGGGTAACTTACAACCGTCTCTCTGTGCCTCAGGGTTCTTATCAGGACATGGAGGATGTCGGAAGAGATGGCCCTCCATGCCCTGCCTAGTTCCAAATCAACAACCCCATGATGTGATTTGTGCATTTTTACCCACCTGATGATTCAATTTCTCTTTTAATAAAAATGAAAATGAAGATATGGATTCCAAATGCCAGTTATAACCCTGGTTTAGTGGGTGGTGCTTCTGACAAAAACCACTATATGGAGAACAGTTTCAATTTCCCAGTTCTCTGTTAAGGCAGTTATAGGTAAAGAGGGTTAGACAATGCCTGGAACCACTGAACTGTCCCCTGCCTCCTTGGAGCAGCCAATGGGAGCAAAAAAAAAGGGGAAACTCTAGGCTCTGACTAGAACTACAGGGACACGCCTTCCTTTGACTCCATTCAGTAGGAAGCATGTACCAGAGAAAGGAGCTGCCGGCCGTGGGCTCCCCTTCTCCCCTCCCTCAGGTGCCTCCTGCTCCCTTGCCCCCTTCAGTCTAACTCACAGGAAGATGTGGCCTCATCCCTCGACCTGCTCAGATGATCCCCTTCCATCCTGCCTCCTCCAGCAGACCGCCCCCCACTGTGGCATTCCCCTCTCTGTGGCTCCTTCCCTTCTGCCTACACCCCCCAGCCTCACCTGACCCTTCCATCTCTGCTAACTCGTCCTTCTGCCTTTGTGGCCAAACCCTCGAAGGCCGCAGATGACTGATGCCTCCACTTCCCCTCCTCTCACTCTCTGCTTAAACTCTCACAATCCAGATCCCACAATAGCATTTGTACATGGTTGTTTGCATGTTGTCTCCTCCCCCATCGGACTGTAAGCTCCTTGAGGGCAGAGACTGTCTTCTGGCTCTTTTTTGTATCCCCAGTGCTTAGCACAGCACCCGGCACACCATAGGCACTTAATAAATGTTGACTAATTGACTGATATCTGAAGAGAAAATCAGAATATCTCGGCTTAGCAAGAAGGAGCTGGGGCCAGTCTCCAGCCTGGGGCCTCCTAACTGTCTGTTCTTCCTTCCTCATCTGCATCCCCAGCACAGCACCTGTGGGTGGCTGGGGCAGAAGGCCCAGAGACCGCAGAGGAAATACACTGGATAAAGCATTAACACGCAGGAAGAAAATGCCAGGAGAAAGCCTGCTTTCTCCAAAATTAGCCTTTCAGCCTGAAGTTTTCCACGCTTGCTTTAAAAACCAAAGGTAATTTTTTTTGCAATGCTTGACAAAAACATATTAGTTTTTGCATTATGAGAGGATGCTGGCCCACACAGTGTTTCCACTTTAAAAGCAATTTAAGGAATTGTTTTATATGCAGATAACTCAAAAAAGTGGTTTAAATTTAGGAGGTGAAACTTTCCATGTGTCTAGTTCTCAGCAAGATAATGTCCTGAGTCATTCTAAAAAGACAGACACATAGGCACACACACATTTTAACTGAAGGCCTCACTCTGATGAAGACTGATAAAGAAGGAAGTCGGCTAGGCAATGAATTCCTCCGAGGCCAGCCCTGTGTGCCCTATTTCTGGTGGAAGGGAAGCCTGGAGGAGCCCTCATATTCTGCCAACAGTCTGGGAGATGGTCCCGGCGTCCTTGTGGGGCGACTAGTGAGCAAAATGGAAACTGGTGAGGAGTGATTAAAAAAAAGTCTTTGGGGCATCTAGGTGGTGCAGTGGTTAGAGCACCAGCCCTGGAATCAGGAGGACCTGAGTTCAAATCCGACCTCAGACACATAACACTTACTAGCTGTGTGACCCTGGGCAAGTCACTTAACCCCACTGCCTAGCCAAAAAACAACCAAAAAAACAAAAAACCGCCTTCTCTTAAGCTGTCTGACAACAGATAGGTCAGAACTCCTAGAAATTTCTGGTGGACATTTACAGAGCCCTCTGGAGATCCCAAAGCACTTGGCGGTAAGACCTCAGGCAGTGTGTCAGTACTGGTGGAGGAGGCCTTACGGGGATATCACCCTTTCCCTCGGGCTCAGGAGAAACCCTTGATTTCTGACAATCTTCACTTTCCACACAACCCCTGAAACCTATAGCAGCAGCGATACTTTCCTCCTACTTGTGGATGTGATGAATTGTTAAGGCCAAACCTGGGTGTGACCGCCAGCGGCCGCTGACATTCTGGCACCAACTTCACCCGACACCTTTATTTCCTCACTGACCTTGCTCGCCTGGGTGTACAACCCAAAGGCCATGTGCTAGCTCTGGGGGCAGTGCTACACGGCCTTGAGTTTTAAAGGCCAATGATGGAAAGGTGCAGCGAATGCACAGAGATCTCTCCAGCGATAGGCGAACATGACCAGGGAACACCTAGTGGGAAGCAGCCCATCACGAGCAGCCTCAGATATGCGAGGCCGGCAACGTGAACATGAAAATGAGGCCACATGTTAAAGGCGGGAATGCTGAGGCCCACCGGCACCTGGTCATCCATGTGTTCTCTCCTCCCTACGTCTGCCATTCGGGACAACGCTGACCCCCTAGCCCTTGGGATGCTCTCTCAGCCAACCCTTGCAGCTTCCTCCACTGCTCCCCTATGGTCCCAACCCCTCTCTCCAGAGAGGAAGCTCCTCACTCCACAGATGTGGTCAGCTGCCAAGCTGCGTTACACCACCTTCCCAGGCCGGCCAAATGGGCCTCCTCTTGGGCCCCCGCTGATGACTGGACAGCTCCAGCAGCATGCCCCGCGTGAAGCCTTTCCCATTCCCCACAACAGCTCATGCACCCCCCCCCCACACCAGCTGCGTGTGGACAATGGTTATTACCTGCACATATGTATGGACAGATAGTATCTGTCCTTGTCGTGACCCCCAAGAGAGGGGGCACTTATCCTTTGGACTTGTGTCCCCAGGGGCCAGAGCAGTGCCTGGACCCAGGAGGGGTGAAACAAAGCACTGTGGGCCAACTGAGGTTTCTCCAGATCCATGCCTGAGCTAACCTTCAGAGCCACACAACCTTCTTGGTTCTGCTTCCTAAGGCACAAAACACTGGGCTCGAAGCCAGGAGACCTGTGTTCAGATCCCACCTCTGACACCCGTCAGCCTACAGTGCCCTGCGTCCTCGCCCAATGGGCGACCTCCTCTCACCCGCCTGTGCCGACCGTGAGGAGACTCTGGGACGCTCATAAAGGCCGATATCATACTGCCAGACCTGTGTGGTCTACCCACCGGAAGCTGAGGGGCTCTCTTCATCATCTCCAGCAGGATGTAGCTGCCCACCGAGTGGCTGATGAGCACCAACCTCAGCGTTGCCGGCACGCACCTTCTCAGGAAGGCGAGCTTGTGCTCCACCTGGCCTTCAAGTCCAACGGCATCATCCAGTTTTCTCGGACTTGGATCTGAGGACAAACACACAGAAAAGAGCTTTTGGGGGTGGCTTTGGAGGGACCGCCCCTTCGCCAACTCCAAACCACACGGAAGAGAGACCACGAATCCTGGGGCCGTTGGGTGTATGTGAGCTCACACCAGCGCCTGTGGCATTCTCCTGGGCAGATGGACAAGGCCCTCCACAGCGGTGCTGGGGAGGGGCGACAGTGCTGCCATCCCTGCCCGGCAGTGAGAGTCTGCACCCTCCCTTCTCCTCCTGTGGTCAAACATAAAAGTCTGTCTGGCGGGTGAAGCCCCTGCCAGCCTCCCTACCCTTCTGTATATGGTGGAGGCTCCCAGGAAGGCGGGAGCTTTATGGACTAATCCCCCCCCACCCTTATCCCAGCTTGGGCGAGTGCTAGGAGCACAAAGTCTTTCCTCCCTCCATGCCCTCCACAGTCCGGCCACACTGACCCACCTGCTGCTCCTCCCAGAAGTTGGGGTCGTCTCCCACATCTGCAGCCCAGAACACCCCTTCCCATCCCCTCGGGCTGTGGTGGGCGCTGCTCAGGCACAGAAGGTGTGGCAGCCCTCCCTCCCCCAGCTCTGCTCCCCCAAGCCAAGCTCCCAGAACACCCCTGGTTGGTTCTGCCTCAGAGCCAAGGCTCGGTGGTCAGCTCTCAGGAGGCTTTGGCTCCCTCACCCAGGAGGGGGAGGGCCAAAGTGACTCACTGTCCTTTGTAATGTGCCAACATCCTCAGGAAGCCTCCACCTGGGTCATTCATGGCCCCCAGCACGTCCTACCTCGTTCATCTCATCTTCCTGTTGGGCTGGACGCTGCTGGAGGACAAGAGCTGTCTCTGACTTTTTTCTATTATAGACACATCTAATTCAATTCAATTCTGCACCTCCTAGGACCCAGGCACTGTATTCAGTACTGGGGAATAGAGGAAAACAGAGTCTGTGCTCTCCAGGACATTACATTATGTTGGAGGAGGGAGCGGGAAATGTGTTGATTAGATCACATGCATACAGACCACGTCATTTCAAGAAGGAGTGAGTGCACAGAACAGGAGGGGGATGACAGAGCTCCTGTAGGAGGCTGCCCCATGGAAGTCAGGAGCTCAGGACACCGCCCAGGCCTGGGGGATCACTCTGCCAGAAAGAGCATGCGAGGAACGAACAGCAAGATTCCAATGAAGCCTCTGCTAAGCCCAAGTTCAAAACCCCATCCACTATAATCAACATAGGCCCATCCATGAGTCTGCTCCATGGCTCCCTATCACCTCTAGGATCAAACAGAAAATCTTCTGTCTGGCGTTCAAAGCCCTCCATAACCTGCCCCTTCCCTACGTTTCCACCCCACAGACTCCTCGATCCAGGGACCCTGGCCCCTTGGCTGTTCCTGTACTTCTTGACCCCGGGCATTTTCTCTGGCCGCTTCTATGCCTGGAATGCTCTCCTTCCTCACTTCTGCCCCCTGCCTTCACCGGCTTCCTTCAAGACTCAGACAAAATCCCACCTTCTCCAGGATGCCTCCCCAATCTCTTTCAACGCCGGTGCCTTCCCTCTGCTGATCATTTCCACAGTATCCTCTGTGTTGCTTGTTTGTACATAGCTACCTGAATGTTCTATGAGCCCCTTGATAACAGGGATTATCTTCTGCCTTTCTTTGTATTCCCAGTGTTTAGCACAGTGCCTGACCCATAGTAGGGACTTAATAAATGTTTAGTGACCAACAAAGAATGTCACAATCCCTTCTCTTAGACAAGATACTGCTGCCACCCTAGAGTTGTCAAAGTGCTCTAGCTAGACAAGTGAGTTTCACAGCCTAGATGGATGTGCTAAGGCATCAAAGCTCACTCAATCTCACCAGGAGTGTGTAGGGCTCATGCCCTCAGGTGGGACTGCTGTGCTTGTAGTAGTAAGCTAGCAGAGAAAGGGCCTCCAAGGTAAAGAACTGATGCTATTTCTTTTGTCTTCCTACAAAGACATCTAAAACCAAGTAAATGAGAAGCCTCCTCATGAGTGCTAACATTCCTGTCACTACCTATTATTCAACCAAAGGAATCCAAGGAGCTGCTAATATGTCCTGTTAGCAATGTGATGAAATCAACTTTATGAAGCCAATCGCACTCAGAGGGAGGTGGAAGAGGACAAAGGAGCCCTACCAGACCCCAATGATCTCAAATGTCAAAGGTCCTCTAATAAAGTCAGTGAGCCCAAGTGTGCTCAGAAATCACAGCCACGGTTCTCAGAGGGAAGCAGAGGTTTGCAACCAAGGCCCCAAGCTAGACTGCTCATGCCTAAGAGGTGGGGGAAGGAGCGCTGGACCGAGGATCAAAAAGCCTCGGTTCAAGTTCTGGCTAAGCCACTTAAGAACCTTGTAACTGTGGACAAATCATATATAAGCTTCAATGGCCTCGTCTCTAAGATGGTGCTAATCACTTCGATGCGACTTAACTCATGTGGCTATTAGAAAGAATGAGTAAACTGTAAACTGATATGAAAACCATTGTGGTTAGCATCATTCTTTTTTTCTTAAGAAATTTATTTATTTACTTTTGGTTTTCAACACTCACTTTCATAAGATTTTGTGTTCTAAATTCCCCCCTCCCCAAGATGGCTTGTGATCCGATATAGGCTATACATGTATGATCATATTAAACATATTTACATATTAGCCATGTTGTGAAAGAATAATCAGAAGAAAAGGGAAACATCACAAGAAAGAAAAAATAAAAAACAAAAAAAAGAGAAAACAGTCTGCTTTGATCTACATTGAGAGTCCACAGCTCTTTCTCTGGATGTGGAAAGCATTTTTCATCATGAGTCTTTAGGAATTGTCTTAGATCACTGCATTGCTCAGAAGAGCTAAATCTAACAAAGTCAATCATCACACAATGTTGCTGTTACTGTGTACAATGTTCTCCTGGTTCTGCTCAATTCCCTCAGCCCAGGTTCATGCAAGACTTTCTAGGTTTTTCTGAAATCCACCATTTCTTATGGAACAATAGTATTCCATTATATTCATATAATACAACTTGTTCAGCCATTCCCTAACTGATGGGCATCCCCTCAATTTCCAATGCTTTGTTACCACACAAAGAGCTGCTAAAAATATTTTTGTACATGGGGGTCCTTTCCCCTTTTTTACAGTCTCTTTGGGATACAGCCCTAGTAGTGAAGGGTACTGCTGGATCAAAGGGATCATAGTTCAATAGCCTTTTGGGCATAGTTCCAAATTGTTCTCCAGAATGGTTGGATCAGTTCACAACTCCACCAATGCACTAGTGTTCCAATTGTCCCACATCTTCTCCAACATTTATCATTTTCCTATTTGGTCATGTTAGCCAATCTGCTAGGCATGATGTGGTACCTCAGAGCTGTTGTGATTTGCATTTCTCTAATTATAAGGAATTCAACAACATTAAACTGTTTACTTCTTATATGTGAAAACATTATCAGTACTTTTATGATTGTCATCATTATATGGGTAGTTTGAAAAAAAGGCTTGGGCTGAGCTGAGTATGATAGGTGATTCTAAAAAAAAATAAAACTGTGCAAGGAGAGATACAAAGGAGCAATTATCTCATACAAATGAGGCCAAAAGTAAAAATTCATACAGAAGAAGCTAGTGGAGGAAGGCGGTAGTGCTGAAACCTTACTCTCATCAGGAATAGGTTAAAAAGGGAACAACATATATATCTAGAAGGGTATAAAAGTCTTTTAAATTCAGAAAGAAGAGGGCAAGGGGATAGAATGGGGGGAGAGGATGACAGGGATTCTTGGAGGGGTGAGTAGGTTAAGGAGTAGGAGGGCAAGGTAGCGGGTAGAAGTAAAGCAGAGGAGCAGGAGAGACAGGAACAGGGTGAGAAAGATAGTGAGGAAAAAAAGGAAGGATAAAAAAATACAAGTAATTATAGCTTAGAATGTGAATGGGATTAATTTACCCATAAATGGAAACTGAGAGCTGATTAAAAATTTGAATTCAACAATATCTTGCTTTCAGGAAATGATATAAAAATGAGAGATACACACAAACATAAAATAAAGGCCAGGAGTAGAATTTATTATGTAAAAAAAGCAGGAGTAGTAATCATGATCTCAGACAAAGTTAGAGCTAAAATAGGTTTAATCAAAAGAGAAAAACAGGGAAACTACACTATGTGTCAGCCATATTATCCATGCTGTTTTAGACCATTTAAAATAACTAGACAGTACAAAATACCTGAGAATATATATCTGCCAAAATAGATACAGGAACCATACGAACATAAATATAAAACACTTTTTATACAAATAAAGTTAGATCTAAATAACTGAAGTAATATTTATTGATCATGGGAGGTAAAGCCAATATAATTTTTTAAAATGACAAATTTACCTGACTAATCTATTTATGTAATGCCATCCTAATTAAATTACTAAAAAAATTATCTTGCTGAGTTAGAAAAAATAATAAAGTTCATTTCAAAGAACAAAAGGTCAAGAACTTAAAAAAGAAAGATGCAAAAATTCAGTAGTATCAGACCTTAAACTATATGATAAGGTGAGGGCATTGTTGAAGTGTAAAATGGATAATTCTGATTATCTGAAATCAAAATTTTCTTGTATAAATAAAACCTACACAGCCAAGAATAGAAGGAATGCAGAAAGTTTGTGAAAACCTTTCATAGACAATCTCTTAGATGGAATGTAATTGGGTTGGAATATTGCTGTGGTATAGGAAACGATGAGCTGGCTGATTTAGAAAAACATGGAAGGACTTGGACCTAGGAAGATGCTATTCATCTCCAGAGAAAGGGATGACAAGGGGAAATATGCACAGTATGGTCTTACATATATGTGTATGAGTGTATATGTGTATGTTTATAGATGTCTATGTGTATGTATGTGTACCTATAGATGGAGACATATCTATAAATAGATGCCTGTGCTTCATTGTAGCCTCCTTTTAGGGGGAAGGAAGGGTAAAAATGAAATAAAAAGTGCACATCAGAGAACAAAAGAAAACAAAGAAAAGTTGGGTAGGCTGGAAAACAACGTGTAGTATTTATTACATAGGATTTCTTGAAACAGAAATTTATTGTTTTATACTGAATCCTCTCATGTTCTGCTGTGTACACGGCAATGTTTCTTTTCCCTTTCTTTTCTTATTTTGTATTTAAGTTTAAGATAAATCTTTGAAACTTAAAAAAACAACAACAACATGCTATCCAGCTCCAGGTAAAGAGCCGACAGTCTCAGTGTGCAGATCACATACGGAAAAGAAGCCAAGGCAGGATCTGGATTTCCCCCTAGGTCCCATGTCACTGCTCTTTTCACTTTCCCCTATGACCATCCATAAAACCAATATTGTTGTCTGACAAATGAAAGGATAAAATAAAATTAAAAAGCATGTTTTTAAAATCTGTTATCCCCATCGTTTCTTACTAAACCCTTTGTAAAGTGAAGAAGTTGCAAGGATTTGAATTCTGTATTGATTTTTCATTATTAGCTAAGGGTTTTGTAAACTGTATAAAATGAACTCTGACATCCAGGTAGTAAGAAGCTGTATTTCTAAAATTCTTTTCCAGAAAGCAGCAGGACAGCAAACAACTATTTCATTAATAAAGTTGTGGTTACAGAGAATAAAATACAATACAATAAAATAAAATACAATAACTGCAGGCAATACAAAAAGTCTGCCTGCCAAGACAAACTAGGGACTATATGAACACAATTACACAGATAAAGACAGGTCTAAGACAACCAGAGAAATATTCATTACTCATGGGTAGGCTGAGCAAATATAAGAAAAATGAGCTTGCCATCTAAATTAATTTGCTCATTCAGTACCACACCAATCAAACTACCAAAGAATTATTTTATAGGGCTAGAAAAAACAATAATAACAAAATCCATCTGGAAGAACAAAGGTCAAGAATATCAAAGGAATCAATGGCAAAAACGTGAAGGAAGGCGGCCTAGCAGTACCATAGGTCAAACTGTGTCACAGAGCCACCATCACAGAAACCATTCGGTATTGGCTGAGAAATCGAGGAGTGGACAGTGGGCTACATTAGGTACACAAGACACAGTAGTAAGTGACCACGGTGAGGGTAAGAACTCAACATGGGACAAACATCACTAGGAAAACTAAAAAGCAGTCTGGCTTAAACCAAGTGTAGACCAACATCTCTTGCCATATACCAAGTGGGAAAAGTGATTATTAATAACCAGTATCTTGGGGAAATTCAAAGCTCTCCCCTTCTTCCAAAGTCCTGATTTTTAAAAGTTCTTGAAGGGCATTACCAATAATGAGACTGAATTAACTCTCCTCAGTCTTGGTCAGACCTGCCCAACCTTACAAGGAATTCAATCTAAGGTGGACAAGTTCCTTGTGTTCTCCTCAAGCTTGGGTGGAGACAGATCCTTTTGTGTAGACAGCCCAAGGCTGCCAGAGGTTTGAGCACAGAGATAATTGAAAAGGGCATATTAACTGTGGGTACCACCACTATGATCGTCTTTGGTCTAACAGAGCTGGCCAAATGACCATCCTTTTATTAATAACCTGCTGACCTTATTAATAAAATGATCAAATTATCCAGAAACTACATCTCTCAAATCTTTTTTAAAAGTCACACAAGATAAGGTCAAAATGGGTACATGATTTACACATAAAGGGTGATACTATAAGTAAATTAGGAGAATAAGGAATAGTTTACCTGTCAGATCTATGGATAAGGGAAGAATTTAGTACAAATAAGATACAGAGAACACTGTAAGATATAAAATGGATAATTTTGATTATATAAAACTAAAACATGTTTGGAATAAAACCAATGCAACCAAAATTAGAAGGAAAAAATGGGGAAAAATTTTTATAGCAAGGATCTCTGATAAGGGATATATCTAAAATATATAGAGAATTCAGAATTGATAGAGGATATATCTCAAATATATAGAGAACTGAGTCAAATTTATAAAAAATACAAGTCATTCCTCAATTGATAAATGGTCAAAGGATATGAATGGGCAGATTTCCATCAAAGAAATCAAAGCTACCTATAGTCATATGAAAAAATGTTCTAAATCACAACTGATTAGAGAAACACAAACTAAAACAACTCTAAGATACCACCTCACACCTATCAGATTGGCTAATGTGACAAAAAAGGAAAAGACAAATGTTGGAGATGTGGGAAAACTGGGACACTAATGTACCGCTGGTGGAGTTGTGAACTGATCCAACCATTCTGGAGAGCAATTTGGAACTATGCCCAAAGGGCAAACCAAAATAGCACTGCTAGGTCTATCTATATCCCAAAGAGATCATAAAGAAAGAGAAACAGACCTATTTTTGTACAAAATTTGTACAAAATATGTAGAGCAGATCTTTTTGTGGTGGCTAAGAATTGGAGACTGAAGGGATGCCAGGAAATTGAGGAATGGCTAAACAAGCTGTGGTATATGACTGTGATGGAATATCGCTGTGCTATAAGAAATGATGAGCAGGTGGATTTCAGAAAAACCTGGAAAGACTTATGTGAACTGATGCAAAGTGAAGTGAGCAGAACCAGGAGATCACTATACACCATAACAGCAATATTATACAATGATCAACTGTGAAAGAGTTGGCTGCCTCTGACTGAGACGATGATCCAAGATAATTCCAAAGGACTCATGATGAAAAATGCTATCCACCTCCAGAAAGAAAACTGATAGACTTTGACTGCTAATTGAAACAACTTTTTTCACTTTCTTTGTTTCTTGTTATTTATTTATTTAACTATCTGTTTATCTATCTATCCATCCACTCATCCACCCATTCATCCATCCATCCATCTATCTATCTATCTATCTATCTATCTATCTATCTATCTATCTATCTATCTATGTATCTATCTATCTATCTGTGAAGCATGGCTAATATGGAAATATTCTGGATGAACTCACATATAAAATAGAATATCATATTGTTTGGCTTCTTAGTGGGTGGGGAAGGGGTGGAAGAATTTGGGACTCAAAATTTTTTTTAAATGAATGTTAAAAAGAAATCAATTTAAAGAAATTTTTTTAAAAAGCCTTTTCATCTATCTGGCTTACAGCTGAAATCTCCTCTCTCCCATGAGAACGGGAACTCCTGCAGAGCAGGCGTGGCCTGTTTCTGTATTTTTCATTATTCATTCATGCACTGATAATGAGATCCACTTCCACCAGAGTATCTGAGCTACCACAGAAACGCTCCTATAAATATTTTTGTGTATACAGGGCCTTTCCCTCCTCTTTGACCTCTTTGGGGTACAGGCCCTGAGGTGGTCCCCCTGATGTACACTTGGGTGATTTCTGGGGTACAAGGGACAGCTACTTTGTACAATAGTTCCATGAATTCTCAGCTCCCCCAATGGTGCACAGGATGGGGATCAGGTGAAACTTTCTCCTTAGATTTTTTTTCAGGTCGTTGTTATCAGCTCGCATTTCTTCTCTTGAAAACTTCCTGTCCACACTCTGACCACTTGCTTGCCAGAGAATAGCTCAGGGTCTCATCTCTCTGTGCTAACTCCCCAAACGTCTTGAGCATCAGGTCTTTAGAGAAACATGCTAACCTCGCCTCTCCGAATTCCAGCTGCTATGGTTCAGTGGGCTGGGACTGGGGCTGACTCCTCCCCCAGTCCACGTGTAAAGGGCTCCTCCCTCCATTCTCCTCGCTCTCAGAAACCCCTGACCACCTCGTTCAGCCTGGACTTGCCCTCCCTCTTCCACACCTGCCTTTCTTGTCTCCCCAGTGAGCCCATGAGCTTCTCTGGGAACTGTGGCTCTTCCATAACCCCTCACGGCTTCACACTGGGTCTGGCACGTAGGAGGTTCTTAATAAGTGTTGAGTGATTTACTGATTAATAAATAGAAAAGCTCACCTTCCATAAAGGAACAACTCACCTAGACTTGCCTATACTCATCCAGGAGGGTCAGCGACCAAGATGGAAAGACCCTACAGGCTTTCCAGGAGAAGGGCAAGGCCTCCTGCCCTCCCCAATGTTGTCCATATGACCCCCACAGAGCCCTGAAAGGACCCTGGTGTGACAAGGAGCCTGGCAATCCCAAGGAGTGGACACACCCAGGCTCCACTAAGGCACCTCCTCCATGAGGCAGAAGTCAGGGCTGGACCTCAGCAGAGCAGGCCGCTCACCACAGACAACACTAATCATGTGGACCTTCCCCTTACCTTTGGGGACTTCCTCATCCACCTTGACACCTCGCGGGGCTGAAACATGGCCAGCATGGCTTATGACCCACACAGGGTAGCGCTTCTGCAGGCTAAGGTATAAAGCCTTCACAAACTCCGTGTAGAAGGCAGGAACCCCTGGGTTACCTGCAAAAATAAAGGCATAGTCATTGATGTTGGGGGGAACCACCAGCAGTGACAAAAGGAAGGCAGGAGACAGAAGGACTTAATATCTGATAGCAGTGACCCCTTCCTTCCCAGGGAGCAATTTAATGGGGGTGCAGGGTCATAAGAATGCAGACACAAGGCAACTCTCAGGAGAAAAAGAGAAATCTGCTCCTAATACATTCTGTGAAAGACTTTGTCAAACCCGAGCCCAAGATTCCTCACGCCATCAAGCAGCTTGTGCTGCCTGGGCCACTTCCAGCGGAGGCCTCCCTGGCCCTCCTCGCTCCCCACAATGACTATTCCAAATCCTGTCTGCTCTCAAGCACAAGACCTGGCCTCTTGTCTTGAGAAAAAGAGGCCCAGTGCCCTGGGCTTCCCCCTCCTCCTTCTCCAACTCCAAAGACCTAGACACTAGGCACCACTCTCTCCCCAGCAAAGCCAATGCCTCTGACGTGTGCCTTTGAGCCTGTCCCTTCCTGTCTTTGGGTTTAATTTTTTTTCTTATTGCATACTTGACAAATATCAAACACAATCATCACTTTATAGACAGAAGAGGGATGTACATGAAACCATGAATCTATTACACATAGCTTTCATTTTTTAAAAACATCATAAATTCACCATGTTCCTTTCGAAGCTGTCCTGCTTGTCTCTTCTCCCTCTGAACCTCTTTCTGTTCTTTCCTGGCCATTTAAAAATGCCACAATGACCCTTCTTTCTTTTTTCATCCTGATCCTTCCAAATCTCCCCATTAGAAAAATACTCTCTCATAAAAAATAAGGATAGTTAAACCAAATAAATGCAGACATTAGCCATGCACAAAAACACATCTCTTCACCAGCCCCTCCAGTTCTCCACCTCTGTTGAGTGGTGGGCTGCATGCATCATTACAGATGGTCCTTGCACTGATCTAAGCTACAAAGTCACCCACAGCTGGTTGTTTTGTTTTGTTTTTTAATAGAGTTGCAATTACTAGATACATTGTTCTCCTGGTTCTGCTCACTTCACTCTGCATCAATTCCTAAAACTCTTCCCAGGTTTCTTGGAAACAATCCTTTTCACCATTTCTTAAGATATAATAATTTTCCATTGCACTCATATGCCATTCTTGGTTCAGCTATTTCCCAAGTGATAGACACTCCCTGAGTTTCCAGTTCTTTGCTATAAATATTTTGTGCATATGGGTTCTTTCCCTCTTTCTTTGATCTTTCTGAGGTACATGCTTAGGAAGAATATCACTGGGCCAAAGGCTTGACAGTTGAGTAACTTTGGGGCTTTCCAAAACGGCTGCACTAATTCAGAGCTCCAACCAAAGTGAATTGGAGCACCATCCTCCCACAACCCCTCCAATAACAGATGTTTTCCTCTTTCGTCATCTTGGCCAACCTGATGGCTGGGAGATAGGCTTCTCAGAAAGGGTTCATCCGGCTGTGAACAGCCTGGATTTCTTCCTCTGATCACTCATCTACCAGGTAACAGTTCTTACACTTGTAAATTCCAATCACTTCCTTATAAATCTTGTATATGAGACCTTAGGAGAGAAACTTGTTATATGATGTGACCTTTTATATCCAAGATGTGTATCCATTGGCCACAATATCTACTGTAGTATATGGTATGAGCTGTTGCTCTGAACATAATTTCTACCAGTCTGCCTTCTAGTTTTCCAAGGAGTTTGTGTGGAACAGTGAGTCCATGCCCCAGCAGCTGGGGTTTACAGGTTCACCAAACCCTATGCTATTCTGTTTACACCCTTCCTGACTTTTTCAGCCGATCAACCCCTCGATAATGAGTTCTTGAGACTTGCTCTCTCACGGGTCAGTCTTCCACTTGTCACTCTCCAGATGTTCCCACCTCCACTGCCAGTAGGCCCATAGAAATGCCTCTCTCCTGACTGGACGGTCTCTGGCTTGGACCACAAGGCTCCACTCCTCACCAGCAGCACTGCCTTCAGGAATTTACCCCCTTCTCCCCGCTCAGGCTCCCCTTTTATTTGCTGTTTTGCCCTCATTAAAATGTCAGCTCAACACTTACTAGCTGTGTGACCTTGGGCAAGTCACTTAACCCCAACTGACTCACCAAAAAAAAAAAGAAAGAAAGAAAAAAAAATGTCAGCTCATTGAGGGCAGAAATTGTCTTTTTTGCTTGTCTTTTTATCCCTGGCTCTTAGCACAGAGAAGATGCTTAATAAATGCTCTAGTTAGCAAATCAAGCCTAACGTTAAATCTCTCCCTAGCTCCTAGCTCCTGGATCCTTCCCTACAGCTCACAAACACACTCTGGTCCCCCATGTCCACATAGTCCCCTGCTAATTTAGAGAGTGAGCATCTCCAATCTGTACTACTGTAACAGCCTGCTACTGGTTGCCAGACTCCCCACTTCCCAATCCATCTTCCATACAGACGGTGACAAGGATAACAATCCGGCACAGACCTGCTCCAGGAGACCCAGGGACCCTTCCCGTCAATAAGATTAAAAACAAACTCTTCTGTAGGATATTTACAGCCCTTCACAAATTGGCCAGTCTGATTTCATGCTCTCCCCTTCCTACGTGTCACAGCCAAGTCCGATGGGCCTGTCTTCTTGTTCTTGGATGGGGCATGACACCCAATCTCCCACCTCCACACCTCTGCACAGGCTCTCCTACATGCCTTCTTAGCTCTGCCTCTTGGCATTAGCTAAACCCCTCGAGAAGTCCATCCACAGTCGGTGCCTCCATTTCCCCTCGTTCTTCCTAATCCCTTCTGCTCTGGCTTCCAGTCTCAACTTTCCACCCAAACCGCTCTTCCCAAAGTCACCGGTGATCTTTTAGTTGCCAGATCCAATGGCCTTTCCCCAACCCTCATTCTCCCAGACCGAGGACACTCCTGACCTCTCCTCCTCGACATGTTCTCCTCTTTTGGGACACCATCTCACTGGTGAGAGACTCCTCTCTCTTCTCTTACCCTCCACCCCCACCTCTCTCTCACATGCCCCCTCCTCTTCTGACCCTGCCCCCACCCCGGTGCAGACCCTCCTCACCTCATGCCTGGACTATTGCAGTAGCTGTTGGGGAGAGGGAGGTCTGCCTGCCCCAGGTCTCACCCCACCCCAGTACATAATCCATTCAGTCACTAAAGTGATTTTCCTACAGCACACGTGTGACTACGTCACCCCTACTCAACTGACCCCAGGGGCCGCCGATCACCCTCAGGAGCAAATACAGAATGCTCCGTCTGTCTTTTAAAGTCCTTCCTCTCCAGTCTTCTTATACCTTACTGCCCGACCCACACTCTTCGACCCAGTGACCCCGGCCTCCCAGCTGTCCCACCAACCAGGACCCTCCATCTCTTGGCTCTGGGGCCCTCTCTCTGGCTCTTCCCCAGGCCTGGAACACTCTCCTTCCTCTGCTCTGCCCACTGGTCTCCCCGGCTTCCTCTGAGTCTCAACTAAAATCCCACCTCCTCCAGGAAGCCTTCCCAACCCCTCTTAATTCCAGGGCCTTCCTCCTCTGCATTATTTCCAATTTTATCCCATACATAGCTTGTTTGTACAAACTTGCTTGCTCATGATTTCCCTCATTAGACTGTGATCTCCCTGAGGGCAAGGACTGTCTTTTGATTCTTTTTTGTATCCCAGCACTTTGCACAATGCCTGGCACGCAGCAGAAGCCTAGTAAATGTTTACTCACTGACTGACTGACTACAGCAATGGAAATGGAAAGAACAACTGAGCATTACATGATTAGAATGCCCAAGCTGGGCCCCAACCCTCCTCTCCCTGGAGAGGTGGGGGAATGTGGATATGGTACGTTGCACACCCTGTCAGAATAAGATGACTGGGGCAGCTGGGTGGAGCAGTGGATAGAGCACTGGCGCTGAAGTCAGGAGGATCTGAGTTCAAATGCGGCCTCAGACCAAATACTTGACACTTACTAGCTGTGTGACCCTGGGCAAGTCACTTAACCCCAATTGCTTTGGAAAAAAAAAAGAAGAAGGAGAAGGGGGTAGCTAGGTGGCATAGTGGATAAAGCTCTGGCCTTGGAGTCAGGAGGACCTGAGTTCAAATCTGGACTCAGACACTTGACACTTACTAGCTGTGTGGCCCTGGGCAAGTCACTTAATTCCCACTGCCTCACCAAACCCCCCCCCTCAAACCAAAAAACCAGAATAAGATGACATGTTGGTTAGTTTTGTGAATTCTTCCCCCCCTCCCTCCATCCTCCAGGCCTTTTTCAGTTTTTGTTTAAAGAAATGGCTTTCTGAGAAATGGAAGTGATGGAAAAACAAAACAAAACAAAATTAAAATAAAAAACTTTAAAACTAATTTCAGAAAAACTTTAAGCCATAATCACCATATTCACATTCTGCAACTGCAAAGTAACTTTCCAGCCTCTAAGCTGACATCTGACAATCTAAACTAGTGATCTGCCACCTCAGCTTCCTTTTCACTCAAGAGTATATAAAAATTCTCAAAAACAACATCCATCTAATAAGCACTAACATTTAAAAGCTCTACAAAAAGCTTCTCTTGAGACTGAAAGCAAGGTAGCAATTATTGATGTTGGATACTACTGATTACTTTCTATACCTCCGGATGCTTTAAATAAATCCTTAATGCATATATCTACAGAAGAGTAAAAAAAAATCATCAAATTTAAAAATAGGTCATGTGAAAAATCCAGTTCGTTTTGATGTTTGGAAATGTCTCCCTAGGCTCCTCACCCAGCCATCATTTGCATTTCTCTAATACAAAATGCTCACCTGTAATTATGAGGACAAGCAGCTTAGGGCTATCCTTGGTGCTGAAGAGGTCAGACCAGGGCCCACACTTCAGGACGTGGGTCACAACTCCACCACAGACCAGAAACTCATCATGCACCAGGACGTCTTCATTCTCTGTCACATCCATTTCTAATTAGGAAAAAAAAGAATGAAAAGATTACTGAAAGAGAATGAGCTGGCCTCCAAGATAAGTCTGAATGACTCGGGTGGACAAAGGGGCCTAGGCAGGAGAAAGCCTTTCCAGCTGTTACAATGGAGCTTCATGAAAACCCTGGGCTACAAGGACAATGACGCCCAAGCTAAAAAGAAAAGGAAACACCAGCAGATTCTAGCGGGGAGACGAAGAGCAGCAGAAGGAAAAGGAGGGTTCAGAAGGCGTCTTTAGTCCCTTCCTGGCTTGAATGGCCATGAATAACCCACACTGGCATCACGGTCAACTGACATGAAGAGAGTGTGCACAGAAGACAAGTGAGCCAGAGAAACGAGAAGGCAGCATGTATGAGACGCAACCGCCCTCCCATAATGCAGACCAGAATCCACTCACATTTACTTATGCTGTGAGACTCACTGACTGGTCGCTGACGTCCTGCCTCCACCTCTCCTACCATTACAAGGACACCACTGGAGAGCACGGACTGTCTAACCAGGGGACCAGGCCCTGTTCTCCTCTCACAGAACTCCCCTCTTGTTCTCACCCCACCCAATCCATCCTCCCCTCAGTGGCCAAACCCGGTCATCCTGAAGCCCCAGTGTGACTATTTCACTCCCTACTCAGTCAACTGCAGTCATCTATCTCACTCAGCTGTACTGCTATCCCCAGCACTCAGCCTTGCACACAGTAAACACGGAGTAAGTGCTTTACTCACTCCTCCACTCACTTCCATCCTTAAGGGTCCTTTGAATGTTCTGATAAGCTTTCTTTCAACTGATTTTCTCTTCTACCTCTTCTATCTCCTGACCTCATGGGCCTCTTCGAAGTCCCAACTAAGATCCCATTTTTTACTGGAAGCCTTCCCCAACCCCTCTTCATTTCAGTTCCTTCCCTGTATGAATTGTTTCATATTCATCCTGTTTATAGTCTGCATTGTATATATTTGTTTGCATGCTGTCCCCCTCCATGACTGTAAGCTCCCTGGGGGCAGGGACTGGCTTCTGCCTTTCTGTGCACAGTGCCTAGCACACAGCAGGTGGTTAATGGATGTTTACAGATTGACCCACATGAGACTATACTACTCACCACTGTCTGCCACCCCTCTTCATAAAGTCTTACAACCACAGATATCACTTAACCTGGTCCTGTCTCTGGCAGTCTATGACCTGCGGCAATTCACTTACATCAATTAACCCTCTGGAAGACATTCCAATCGTCCACGAGGAAGTCGCCACTTCCCATGTTTGGCGGTCAGTATTTATTTCGGCCATGCTAGCTGACCTTCACGGAGCCCTTCGTGGTTTGCAAAGGGCCTTACACATCTATTACCTCACTTGAACCTCACGAGAATCCTGGGAGGGCAGGCTCTAAGATTATCGAGGGCTAAGAAGACCTGGCCAGGATCACCTAGCTAGTGAGGGCCTGAGGCAGTTTTGGCCTCGGACTTCCTGACTCCAAGTCAAGTTCTTTCAGCGGCATGCTCTTCTTTTCCTCCTTATTATTCTTGCTTCCTTTTAAAATAACTGTGACCATAGTTCAGTGGGGCTGACTGATCGAGTGTCCAGAGAAAGCTGACTCAAGGATAACTCCCATATCAACAAGTCTTTTCCTGTATATTGAAATGTGATGTGTTTGTAAACACACACAGTATGGCATAGCCCCAAAATGCAAAAGAATATTGAGACTAAAAATCTTTGCATTAAATTTCCTTAATTTAGCACAAATACATACAAAGAACCACTTTTCCATGGGTCAAAGGTTATGAATAAACAGTTCTCAAAAAAACCCTCCAACTACAAATAAACTGTATGTTTCAAATAACATTGGGTAATAAGAGAAATGCACCCCTACCCCCCAAAAAACCCCAACCAAACAATGGGGCTTGACGTCAGACTCGGCAAAGATGAGAAAAGATGGAACCGCTTCCCCCACCCCCACCCCCTGTGCGAGAGGCAGCGGGGAACACGCCCACTCCTGCACCGCGGGTGCAGCTGTGAACTGGTCGGACCATTCCAGAAAAGAATTTAGAAAGACAGCAAAAAGCTGCCTAAAATGCTCATGCCTTTGACTGAGATCAGTCCCGTCATATACGCCACGGAAGTCAGAGACAGGGAAGAGGGGCTCCATGCTTGTGGTAGCAAAGGCCTGAGCCCAGAGGCGGGGATGGCTCTGCACCGCAGGCCACTGTAACTGCATCTTCTTGTGCTGCCACAGATAAAGGGTCGCAGCACAGAGAAGATGACGGCCAGCCCGGGAGGGGCAGGAACGCAGAGCAGCTCCATCCCTACTGTCCTCTGCTCTCTGGCAGGACACTGACCAGCGGGCCAGCCGAGGAAGGCATCGCCAGCAGAGGAGCCGCTGCTCTTGGGGAGTTCCGCTCACCTGGCCTGGGCCGCTAGCTACTGGGGCTGGGAGGTAGGAAGACCTGACCTGAAATTCTGCCTCAGGAGCTTCCCAGCTCTGTGACCCTGGGCAAGTCTCTTAACCTCTCTCAGCTTCGGTTTCCTCATCTGTACAAAGGAGATAATAGTACCCACCTCTGAGGATTGTTATGGAGGGCGAATGAGGCAACGCAAGTAAATCACCTTCTACGGCACTCCAGAAGTGCCAGCCAGTTTATTGCTGTTGTTGTTATATGACTGACACTGAAGGCGGGGTTACTGAGGCACTGGGGTGAATGGGACAGAGGCCAAAGCCAAAAAAGGTGCCCTTTTTCAAAAACAGGAAGGGCATAGAGTCTGCCAACCACAGACTAGTGAGACGAGAAAAATGCTAGACTATCTTATTAAAACAACAGTCAGCCATGCCAGGGATAGGTTCTAGCCAGGGCACCCCTTCGAGGTTCCAGAGACGTGGCCAGGGAGCTGATCTAAGAGGGTATCGATGACTGGGTGACAGGACAGATGGCATCGGAGCACAGAACCGGGGGGATCATCGTCACTCTGGGTGAGAGTTAGGATCTCCTCAGATCCGGGGGGGCCAGAACCACTGACTGAGCCTAAGAAGATGAAGGCTTCCAGGGATCAACGTCGGGTCTGACGTTGGGTTCATGGGAAAAGGAAGTGGGAGTCTTGGCAGACTGCAAGCTCAGGGTGAGTCAACACTGTGCTCTGGCCACCAGAAAAGACTCTGCGACCTTGGGTGGGTCTGTTCTGAGCACCGAGCTTAGAAGAGCTTTCACCTTTTTAAATACAATAAAACTTCATTTTAAAATGCAGAAACCATTGGGGGAAAGGCCTTTGTAACCCCTGAATCAGACCACCCTGGGAGCACTGAACACTGGCAGGACCCAGTGACACTAGGATAACACAATACTTAATTTTCAAGAAAAATGGGACCAGACTAGACTTTCCCTCCAGAAGGGCCCAGAGCACAGCCCTAAGGTAAACAAAAAATACCTAGAAGAATGAGCAAACCAAAAAAAGAATCCCACCACAAAAAGCTATGGTGGTGAAATGGCTGGTGAAGACACAATCTCAAAAGAAGAGACTGACTCCAAAACATCTACAGGAAAAACCTCCAAGAAAAACAAAGCTTGGATACAAATGCAACTAGAATTCCTGGAAAAGATGAAGTGAGAGTTCTAAAAAGTTAAAGAATGTTTTTATAAATAAAATGAGAGCGTGGAAGACACTGATTAGCTATGTGACTCTGGGCAAGTCACTTAACCCTGTGTGCCTCAGTTTCCTCTTCTGCAAAACGAGCTGGAGAAGAAAAAGGCAAACCACTCCAGTATCTTTGCTAAGAAAATCCCAAAGGGGGTCACAAAGAGCCAGACATGACTGAACAACAGTAACACCACCTCCAGCATGATGTGCCTGGCACACAGTAGGCTCTCAGTGACCGTTTACTGAACTGAACTGACTGAATGAATTGTTCCTCTAGGATACCTGAAGGCAGCCATCACACTTCCCTGAATCTTCTCTTTTCCAGGCTAAACACCCACACTGGTCCTCCCAGCACACAGACTCCAGGTCCTTCATCACCCTGGTTACTCTCCTCTGCACTCTCTGCTGCTTAACAATGTCCTTAATCGGTGGGTCTCAGAAGTGACCCCAGGCCTCCAGACAAGGACGGACAACCACTTCTCAGGTGCGTTGGGTGAGGATTCTTTCTGTCTAAGGGTTGGTCGGGAGGAGCTCACACTGTCACGGGGGAGACAACACGCAATCAGCTATGTACTCGGTGAGCACAGCACAATCCGCAGAGGGCACCTGGACAAGGCGGGATCCGGTCTGGTCAAGGCTGTTTGGCTTTTTTTAAAAATTCTGTTTTTTTATCTCTTCTGGATGACAGACATCCAGTGAAGGAGAGTCACCTATGGCTTTATGTCATCTGCAAATGGCATCAGCAGGATATTCATATATTAAGCCAAGTTACTGATAAAAACATGAAGCAGCACAGTGCCCAGACATGTGGCACTGCAGACCCGCTGCAACGCTGGCACAGGGCTATTAACAATTACTCTTTCAGTCTTGAACCCATCTGATCATGTTACCTACTCCACACCTCTCCGGCTTCTCCACAAGAATCCCATGAGATGCTGTCAAATGCTTCACTGAGACGTGGGCAAACTTGCTTCCTCTCATTTACTGATCAGTCAATCGGCCGGCATTTAACACGGCACTACCTCCACATACCATGTGGGCACCATGCCCCCACACAGTACTGGGCATGCGAGGCACTGAGGATGCAACCATCACATGAAGCCAGCTCGCCTCTCACAGACGGCACTGGTTCATCAATCCTGTTATCTATGAAGTCATGCTGACTTTTTGTCACTTTTTTCCCTTTCTAACTCATTCCCCATTCTTTGTAAGGTTCTATTTTAGAACTTGCCAGAATCAAACGTAAGCTAACTGAAATACAGTTAACAAACTGTTGTCCTCTTGTCACATTCTAAATTAGGACATTTATCCTCTGATCCTGTGGCACCACTCTCAATTCTATCACTGATAGGGACCTCACAGTGCGATTT